CCCCCCCCCGTCGAGCAGGTCGCGGTAGCTCTCGAGCCACCGCGCGCACCGCGCGTCGTGTGCGCCGGACGGCGCGAACGACGCGAGCACCGCGGCACTCTGCACGTCCCCCGTCCGGTCCACGTACGCCTGCAGGACGTCCAGCCCCGCGGCGGCCAGCCCCGTGACCACGAGGCCCTCGATGCTCCCGTCGTGGTGGCAGCGCTCGGTGACCCGGCGCAGGTACGACGAGAGCTCCTTGTCGTCCAGAAACTGCACGCCGATGGCGAGGCGCTCGCGCAGCGGCAGCGCCTCCTCCTGCAGGACCTCGGACCAGTCCTTGGACGTGAGGTATGTGAGCATCGCGCGCAGGTACGGGTCCTGCATGCGGATGATCAGGCGCTCGCAGTGCTCGATGAGCTCCGGGGGGCGCCCTGCGCTGCCGCTGCCGCTACTAGAATATGGCGACAGCGCCGCGAGCATCCCGGACATCATTTGGAGCGGCTCGTCTGAGCGCAACACGTCAGCGGTCGTCAGATCGTTTCGGGAGGAGACCCGCACCATCGCTGCGCATGAGCAGCTCAACGGCGCGTTTCGATTGATCGGTAAAGACCAGCCAGCACGCAGCCTGCGAGTGCCTATCCTCTCTTTCCCATCTGGATAGCTCATGAGTTCATTACGGAACATGACACGTCCGCCACCGACCTCTTGATGGCCCGAGCCAAGTCATCCTCTGCCAAGCTCCATCCACATAGCTGGAGAGCAAGTTGCCGCTGAGGGAGTTTCCCTGTGGCGACCGACGGTTTCCACATGGCGGACTCGTTTCCATTTCTCTCGTTTATCGCCTTGATAGCGGCGATGAACTCTTCTGGCACACCTGCGTTTGTCGGATGGCCGTGTCTTCGATTGCTATGTCGTGACGAGGATCTAGTGTGGGTCTCGATCGGCAATGCCGACAGTGTGAGGGCAGGTGTATTCGGCACCATGCTTCGTTTCAGGACACGGGGTGTTGTGTGCGCGGATGTGGATCCCTGCAGTTGTGATGGCCGAAATCCTTCCCAAATGCCCAACAGTCCTTGGTAGGAGAAGTTGTATCCCTCCAATCGAGGATCAGGCTTACAAAGTAAGCGATGCGAATCTAGACACGGGTTTATCGTCAGTGCATGACGTGGGCAATTCTGGCCGCGTACGGTCAATCCATCTCCACACCTCGGCCAAGGTCTGGTCCTCTGAAGTCTCGCTAGTGACCATGACATTGTGTATATGCTTGACAAAAATTAGTGCACTGCTTGGGCCATATCAAACAATAGGTTCCTCACGCTTGTCAAACCGTAACCTTTCACCACTCGCCGGCGCATGGTCATTGATATATCTTCCTGTACAAGGTGCTGCATAGACGTTTCCGCGGACGTCCTCACCGTCAGCGAAGCATCCCGTTGTAAAAATCGGCGACCACGTTTCGTCTTCGAATGCCCGCCATTCAAAGAAAGGGCATCTATGCCATCTCGTCCAATGGAGGACGGGGCTACATCCCTCTTTGGCATAACGGTATGCTCAAACTGAAGACTCCGCAGAGCCGCGGGACTATACGTTCGGCTTCTCCCAGGTCTCGTAGCAGAGATATTGGTCTTCGTAGGAAGCGCTGGAAAGCCGTCCTCATCGCCGCGACCAAACAATGGCGCTGGACTTCGGTTAGAATGAACGGTTCGCCCACGCACTACGGATGCTTCTCTTGATATGTGCCTCTCGAGTGAAGTTGCTTGAGAAGCAACATTTTCTTGTAGTATTGGTATATCCCAGGGCTCGGGCGGCGGTCCTTGATCACTAAAACCGGGAAATATTCTGTAAGAGCTCCCGAGCGCTACGGCTAGGTCGCCACGCGCACTCCATGGAATGGATTTTGGGGTGTCGTGAACAGCGTACAGTTGGAGGTCTCCCTCCTTGTTGACGACCATGACATTCGATGTGAGTGAGTGCATGGCTGTACTGGGAACGAGGGCGAAAGAAGCCAGCGGGCGGCTGAAGTCCTTGGCTACAAGGAATATCGGTTATCTATTTACTCCTGACGGGACTAGAGTATTGACGTACTTTTTCGCGTATCGGAGAGCATTAAATTATACGCCACACCGGCTTGCCCTGACACCAACGGTGAAGAATGGCTTGAGCCTACAGTAGAGCCGGCCCAGGGAAGCATGCTGGAAGGATTTGTCCAAGATCTGGTCACCTTGCTAGATTGGGACGAGTCCCTGGACCCCGTCCTTTCGGGCGACGGTGTATGCACCAACTCGGACTGCTGCAAATCCCAGAACCTGACATGATGCGAGTCTCGCTCAAGGGTGGCCAATACGCCTCTACGAGTGCAGGAAAACTCCATCGTAGCAAAGACTGCTCCCGCTCTCGCACGCGCCCCGTCTGCTCCCGCATCCTTTTCTGTGAAAGTCAAAAGAGGCTGCACCAGTTTACGTGCATCCCAGACTGTCGCGATGCCCTCCCCATAGCACCCGATACGATGCGGATCGAACGGGTCTGTGGCAATCCCGTGCACCTTACTGGCGACGCTGATGGGTGGGGTCAGGGGTGTACGCAGGTCGGAGAGGCGCAGCCATCTGTGTGAGATTCCGGCGAGAAGAAGAGATGGAGATGAAGGCAAGAATACTACTGACGAAACCATGTCCTGGTGAGCGTGCAGTTGCAAAATGCGTGGATCAGTGCGCGGGGGCACGTCCCCACGAGGGATCAACCCCTGCGAGATTGCTCGAGTAGACTGGGGGGCAACAGTCGCCGCCGCCGCCGATGAATCCGATAGATTGAGCACAAGAGTCGGTGTGACTGTACGAATGTCCCAAATCATCAAACTAGATTCATTCCGGACCTTGTCAAGACCCACAGCCAGATAATTTGGGTCTACAGAGGAGAATGCGAGTGCATTGCAAGAGCGCGTATTGCGCACGGGGAGAGAAACGGATGGTCCGCTGGACAGGACATGGTTTCGCGAATGTCTTGTCGCTTCCAGCCGCATGAGATCAACCCGGCCTGTACTCAGGCCAACGGCAACGAGGTCATTGAACGTGGCGTCTGGTGACCACGCAAAGCACTAGTTCGAATCATCTATGGGCATGGCTGGACAAGAAGCATGAAGTGCGGTCACCTTCATCAGGGCCAAGTCTAGCTGAGCAGTGACCTGCTTGATCTCGGATGATTCAGGTATCCATTCGTAGAGCGTAAGTTGCGAGCCGCCCCCCACAACGAACCTGTTGTCGCGTCGGGGATGCCATAGCAGACGCTTCTCACCTTGCGGAATCATGTTGCAGGTGAGATTTTCAGAGTCCGGTCCTTGAAAAACACGAGCGTTGAGGACGACCACGCCCCTGAATATTCAAGTTTGTTACAACGTCGGGTCCCGGATACTGGCTGGTTATATGCGAGTTCTACACGAGTTGATGACCATGCAATCCAGTCCAACACAGGCGACCCAAGTAGCCGAGTGCCAAAAGATACAAAGCCTCAGATAGTGCAGATGCTTTGAATAAGCTACAGAATCCGATGGTCTAGGGTCCACAGTGGGCGCACTTGTTCAAGTATATGTAGTACATGCGGGAGTTGTCTGGTATTCGACGCGTCGGACACAGCTACACGGGCGCTTAAATATGACTTCGTCCTCAACTTTCTCTGGCATAAGCATCAAGAGGAAACATAGTCACAGACGATATACATGAAGAACAAATACGTGAAATCTAAAAACATACTCGTGAAAATGAAATGAACAGCGTCGCATACACAAGGGACATATACACATGATGGTACAATCAACGACGGTTCGTCTTGCCCATCTTCCGCTTCCCAGCAAACAAGTGCTTGGGCTGGATAAAAATAGCACTATTGAGCAACTGTCCGTCAAATGCACACCAAGGAAGAACGCACCATTTTTGTTTTGATCGCGCGATCGCTCTCTCCAGCCTTCGCGAGCCTGTTGCGCTCTCTGTGTCCGAGGTCGCGTAACCTGATAGCCTTCGACGCTTGCTGTAAAAAGAAGCGTATCAGGAAGATTTCATATTTATAAACCGTAGAACGCACCAACTCGTCTCGCATACCAGCCAGCCGCCGGTCCGACCTGGGCTCCCTGCTCCCCTTTGCGACAACGACTCCTGAGTTGGCTTTTGCTCGTTTGCGTGATGCAGGCTCTTCTCCATCCACATCCATCCAATCGGCCTCGTCGCCATCTGCCTCTGCTTCCCCATCCACATCCATTTCAGCATCCTCATCCTCACGCTGTCGTTTCCGCTTGGCACCAGCAATCTTCGCCAGTGTGACTGCTCGCTCTTCAATACTACTTGGGTTATGACCAGCTTTCCTAAGTCCCGCTGACAGTTCGCTCAGCGTGCGGAGGCCTGCTGTCCGAGGCATCCTAGCGTGGTTCTTCATTGCCTTCTTGGTGCCCTGCGAAGTCAATTTTTTCAACCAAGCAATCTTGGCTTCAGTAGCTTCACGCTCGTCATCGGAGTCGACCTGCGATAATGGATTGATAAGCTTAGGGCCAGGATGCCATACAGCGAAGCCTTACCATATCCTCCTCACTCTCGTAGAATCCTTCGGCTTCCAACTTCTCTTCTTCCCTCTCGAGCGCCTCGAGCTTCTCAAGGATATCTGGGTCGATGAAGTCCGCAACGTTCTTGCCATCCATAATCTCCGGTATAATGTCCGACTTCCACTCGGGGTTGGCGAGCAAGTAGTTCTCTGACAATGGGGAACATCTGCGTCAGCATTGATTTCCGAAACAATTACCAGCTGCAGCGCACTTTTCATATTTATGTTGTACACCCCCGCACCACCCTCTTCAGCTTCTATATCCCGCTCCAGTCTTTTCCTGTCAGGATCGACCTTATCATACTTCTTGCGTTCTTTCACCGCATCTGGAATGAATGGTTCTCGTATAATATCATCCCTAGCCTTCGGTTGCGCGACGTGTAGACGGTTGAGGATGGAATTAATCTTGTTTCCTTTGAGTTTTTGATCAACCCGGTGCTCTAACAGAGCGTCGCATGCCTTGTTCTTGAGCTCCATGACACCCTCGTCGGTGTAGCACGATACTTGCACATGCATCACACCTTCCCCATTGATGACCTCCTCAACTAACGCGCGATTTTCGGGAGACAAATCGTCCAAGCGGGTGACATCAATCTTGTTGATGACGAGCATGGTGGGTTTGTTCGCAAATAAAGGCTTGATCGAGTGGAAGAGTTTGCACTGTGCTTCAATCGAGTATCCGCACTGCTCGCTTAAATCCATGAAATACAGCACGCAGCTCTTCAAATGAGCGAGCGCCGTGATACTCTGCATCTCGATGGTGTTCATATCTTCCAAAGGGTGATCCAAGATCCCCGGAGTATCGATAACTTGCCAGCGCATGTAGCGATAGTCGAGATGCCCGACAAAGAGCGACTTCGTCGTGAATGCATACGGCTGCACGTCTACGTCCGCGCGCGTTACCTTGTTAATGAAAGATGACTTGCCCACGTTAGGGTAACCGCAGATCAATAGCGTTCGCGCCGTCGGATCGATCGCAGGGAGACGCGAAATATGTTGTCGCACTTGCTCAAGATATGCAAGTGGATCTTTCTGCCGCCGCATGATCGTCGCCATTCTGGAGGGGCGGATAAGATCACGCAAGCAATAGACAAAAGGGAAAGTACAGACCGACCCAGAGCGGCCCGTTTCAGCTGTTTACACCGGTACAGACTGTCCCCAAATTTGAGCAACCGGACGTAGTCCTTCGCCACCTGGTCGATGAGATGCCGCGCGGTGCGGAGCTGACCCAGGGCGAGCTTGTAATGGTTCTTGTCATACAAAACATTCATGAGGGATGAGAGGAACGGGTGCAAATCCTACGCCCAAAAATCATTATTCTATATGCGCCACCTACAAAATGCAGCACGCACATCGAGCATGGGGAAGTCCTCTAAGATGGCGCTTAACTTTTCTTCAAATGAGTCCTGCGTGAACTTGACTTTGCGCATGTAGAAATTCCGTATGCGGCTGATCTTGAAGTTTTTATGTATGACCTGGCGGATTCATGAAATATAACATCGTGCATCCACCTGCGCGTTCCAAGATACTCACTGTTGGTGTTTTCCGCTGGGTCTTCGACAGAACAATATCCAGGAAGTCCGCAGCCGTAGGCACCGGCGCGATCGCCTTCAGGCCGCTCGTCGACATATTGTGCCAGGTCGGATGGTAAAGTTAATGGACGCTGATCCCGCTGGGTAGATGCAGGAGGTTAGAGTCTATGCTCAGAGATTTTAGCAATTTTGGATTAGTCAGCACCTTCCGCTTCATTTGCGGTGTTCCCACATTACTGTTCTCGTACCCGTCCTCAGAAGCGCCGCCTTCATCCAATCCAGCACTATCACTAGCGTTGCTCGCAAGTAGTACATAAGCTTATGTCTGGCAACTTAACCTGAAGCATAAAGCAACATTCGCACAATGGCTAAGAATGTGGCCTCTTTCGCTGGCACAAAATCAAGCATACGGATGTATTCGGATATATTGTACGTCTAGCTCCTCTACGATACTGCCCTTAGATCTAGCTCTAGCTCTAGCTCTAGCTCTGCCTCTAGCTCTGACTCTAACATCTAAGCTCTAGTTCTATGATTGCGCCCATGCTATCAAGGTTTACTTCTCATCGGTGCTCTTCATGACCCATTGGTCAGAGCTGACGAACTGCGAAATTGGCACGCCAAGCTCGAATAGACGAGAGAGACAGTTAGAGAAGCTACGCCAGCAAATGTGTATCAGCACGACAGTAATCATGGGCCAAAGCAGTTGCACGTACTCCTTGAACCACAGGTCCTGGTCTTTGGCATAAGCCTGAACCCACTTCTTAAAGGATTTGTCCTGGACCAGGGCGTAGTCGGTGCTAGGGGCAGGCTATTAGTCCTATCTCGAGACTGAAGAGAAGATAACATACGGCAACATCATCAACGTCTTAGAACCTTTATCCTGCAGCTGCTTAGGGCCGTTCCACTTCCTCCAGACCCACTTCTCCTCAAGGAGGAGACGGAAGTACTCATTACTGACACTGACAGGCGAGAAAGTCCAGGGACCTTCGAAGCCAGAGCGATCAGTGTGGCAGCGTCCTAGAGCGTGCGCGCCAGAGAGCGCAACGATCTCCTGATCATTGTAGCTGGAAAACAGATTAATTACCCAACTGTGCACCATCCAAAGATCAGAACGTACCCCATGCGATAGAAAACCTGTACGAGCAAAATGGTGAATCATCTTAACTAGCTAGGAATAACAAACACAAGATAACTCACCTGTCTTAGGTGATCGTAACCTAGAGCACCATCAGGAAGACGGCCGTCGGGAGTAACATGGGCCATAAAACCGTCAATTCTGCCCGGTCTCCAAGGGACCTTAGGGCCACCCAGCTCCTGGATGGCGCAGACACCTCCCAAGGTCCATAGATCACCGTAGGAAATCCACGGGAACTCGTTGTGGATTCCCTCCATGATCTCGCGCGCAACGTGCAGACCTGCATTGGCGCCATGCAGAGACTCAGGTTCGAAGCGCATAGTGGCGTAGTTACTAGGGCAGCTAGGTCAACCTAGCAGTTCCCACGAAATGGCCGGCTTTGCTACACACCTTCCACCGGTACCAGTTTCCTTGTCATATGTCCCCGACGCATGCCACGCCAATCGCAGAAGCACGGGACCATACGAACCATCTTAATTGGATCAAGGTCAGATTTTGATGCCCGATTCAAGCCACTGACGTACCATCGTATCCTTTGTCCATAGCTTCATCCATAACCTCCGCGATGCGGTTATAGACCTGTGCAACCAAGTCAGAACCCCTGATATCGACGATGTGAAATTGTGGAATCAAACCTTTTGGTAGTCCTCCTTAGTGGGGACAAAGTTGGCTGCTACCCTAGCGGCTTGGGCACCTGACTTCAATGCCGTGCCCGCCTCTTTCGCTGAGTCTGAAGAGGACGTGTATACCAAGAAGGCGATACCACCGACGGCGGCTGCTCCCAGGCCCGCGAAGAGAGCGGTGTTGGATTGCTTAGGTGGAACATCCGTAGAATATTTTCGGAAGGCATTGTTACGAATGACTCTGGGAGCCCTCGCAGCAGAGAAGGGTGCCCTGCGAATCGAAGCACGGACTGCAGCGAACGACATTGGTGGGTACTTAAGGCGTGCGAGATGGAAGAACGTCGGGCGACGGACTCACGCACTCTCGCCTGGGTTATTTCCTTTTCGGGCGTCTAATTAGTCCTCGATCAAATTACCTAATGTCTTAATCTGTGAGACATGGTGCACGTGATTTTGCTTCAGCCAATCAAAACGCGGGTTTATATCGGAAGACCTCGGAAAGTTATTCATCACGTGCATATTGCACGGCATATGCTCCGGATTTATTCATCGACCCCTCCGCCAGAATCCTCATGCTATTCACTCAGAACTCGTGGGCTCAGCACCATGTTATTCGATGCGTCAGGGTGCAGGATTTCTTATGTTATGATTGCACTTTTCATGAGACATTAATATTGCTAGTCCGCCACCCCGAAGATTTATATAAAACACTATCCGCAAATCGAGATTCAGAGCGAGACACGTAAGACTCGATTACGTGGTTACAGACTCGCTTCGCGAGCACGTGCCGATTTTTTTCTACCTTTGCGAGCGCCGGCTGTAGCCTGGTGGGTGGCTTGAGCAAAGCCAAGGTGAGGCTGCTTATACTGCGCCATATACCCTCTTAAACATCGCTAGACTATTTTGCAGATTTTACACGCTTGCGTATTATGGTGTCTTTTCAGTAAGCGTGCCAATTCTTGTTCATGTGCTGTCTGAGATTTAGCTCATGGGAATCGTTACAGATGCGATGGTAAGACGAGCATCAAAACGCGACCGTAGGTTGCATATAGCAAGCTCACATCGTTCCTCGTTCCTACAGGATGTTCGGAAGTCGTGAAGAAGCCAAAGCTTGACAATCACCGTTCACAATGCTACGCTTCATTCACTTGCATCGACTGCATGACGACGTTCGCCGGCCCTGCACAGTACAAAGGGCATACACAATGTATCAGCGAGGCGGAAAAGTATCAGAAGGGACTGTACAAGGGCCCCAAGGGCGTACGTTCTCGTTTACGTTTTGCAAGCAACACGTCTTGACCCTCTTCCAGCAACAAAACGGCGGGCCGCGGAACAACGGAAATGGTCGTCAAAATGGGGGACCAAATAGATCTACGGGTACGTATCAGCCCTGGGTACGCAATGGTCCCTCTGGGCCCCCCCGGCCCAGCTGGGGCATGGGCTCTATGCGATATTCGGCCACTGGCGCTAACGACACACCTTTGGGCACTCCGGTGCGGATGTCGCCTGTCGCGTCTCCAGTGTCAACTCCCCGGCATGATGCGGACGACATGCGCGGAGTGAATCAGGCAAAATCTGAATTGGCCGTGCCAACAACGCCTGCGGGCGACGTAACGCAGAGTAAAAAACGCAAGACACTCGCTGCAGAGAACGGTACTTCAACACAAGTGAGCACGTACACATTTGGACTCGATGGATATGGTGCGATATATTACAGGACGGCCTCGGCGCAGTAGCTGAACACAAAAAGAAAAAAGCGAAGACGCTAAAAGATGATGAAACTATGTCATCATCATCTTCGCCCGTCGAGGATGGTGTAAATAGTCACTCTGCGGACGGACTGAAGAGCGATAAAAAGAGGGCCAAAAAAGAGAAAAAGGAAAGGGATTCAGTGGAAAGCCAACACGTAAGGTCATTATAACCTGAGGCAGAAGGGGGAAACTTACCACATAGATTTAAGAATAAGACAGACGAAGTCAAGGAGTCCACTGGTACAGAAGCAGCAGCCAGGGATGGGAAAAGATCGAGGAAGGGCAAGAAGGGAAAGGTGCAAGGGGAGGCTGAGGCTGGGAGCTCGGAAGCAGTGAATTCAGGGGCGGTGAGCTCAGAGGCAGTGGAGGACACGAAGGTCGTTTCAGTCAATGACTTGCCGGTGATGGAGGGCAAGTCGAAGAAGAAACGAAAGCGGGATGCCGATACAGACGGAGGCGAATCGGCCCCAGCGGCGGAGAGCGAGAAGGTTCAGAACGTCAAGCCGAAGAAGCGGAAAAATAGAGAAGTTCCGACTGAAACAGATACTGACTTAGTTGATGCTACTGCAGTCTTAGATATCAGAGTCAAGGAGAAGAAGGAAAGGAAGAAAGAGAAGAGAAAGGCAAAGAAGGCGAGCGCGATGGAGGCTGCCTGATGCTAAGAGATTGCCACTGTACTCTTTTAATGATTGTACGATAGAAATCTATACCATCGCATACGACAGGAATAAATTCTCATATCAAGTTACTGGCTTCTGAGCTAGTCCCAATCATACGCTCGTTTAGTGTAAGCGACAGAGTGTGAATTCATATATCATTTTACACAAGTGATGATACAAGCTGAGGGCAGAGTAGGTATGCATACGACTCCAAAGCTCAGGTGAGTTAAGTACCTTCTTCCAATACGTCTAGTGACTCCAGGTAAATGTCCCAACGAAAATCCTCTACGCCACCACCACAAAATCAGAAAGCTGTGGTTGAGTCAACTTCAATCGTCGGCACGATCGATGCGATGAATTTGAGAAAGACGACAAGGTAAAAGTCGACCCGCATGCCCTCCATCTCTTCTTCGCCAGGCGTTGTGGGTGTCTTATCTTCCTTTCCATTTCCGCTTGCACGACGGAACAGCCATTTCTTCTGTTTATCCTTCGGCGACGCCGGCCCTGACGCAAACGCTTTGCGTTGCGCTTGCTGTTCCTCGATAACCCCAGCATTCATACGCTCGATAACCTTCTTCATGACGCTCGCGTGTTTGCATGGGTGAACGGAGGCAGCCTGTAAGCTAGTGGAATGTGGGAAGGCTTCGATTGTCACCGTCTTAAATGCATGATCAGCCGAGACATCTTGAAAAATTTGTGGGGGAGTCAAAGGTGTTCGGTTCTGATAGATTATTGAACATTAGGTACTTAAAGACAAATGCAAGATTGATGCTCGCCTCGTCATAGCCTATGAGCCAAATACGCGGTGTCTGGTAGTACTTGTCATATGAGATCATGACATCGTAAGTTCGCACTTGGAGCAGATTCCCTTTCGCGACCTCCACTTCACTATTATCGCGGTTTCACAGTTATGAGTTTTTGTTTTTATTGAACCAGTATTCGTACCTTGAATCGATGATCCTTGAAGTCGGTGTCACCCTGGGCGCAGCAGTTGCTTCGTCGTCGTCTGCCTCGAGATCTTCTTCCTCCATGTCGGGAATCTCATCCATATCAGGAATCTCTCCGACGCCATCTCCATTCGCCCCTGAGAGCGAAACATTGCCCATGGCACTCGCAAGCGCACCCTCACCGGTGTGGTCGTCGACATCAGGTATGTCATCAATTACGCCGGGATTCGCCCCAGAGTCGATGTCGGAAGCCCGTCCTGCATGTGTTTCCACCCACTCGTCGGCCTCGTTTCCAGTTGACGACAAATCGCCGATGGAAAGGAGGCGCTCGGCATCCTCATCGGCGTCGGTATAAGCAAGTGCTGTGGCGCGGCGAAGGCATGGCACGCCACGAGTAACGAGGTACTGCTTATCGGTCGGGAGGTAGTCCCTAGCTTTCGACGCGTCACCTTTCTCCCTGTACGCGTCGTTTCATGAGTTTGAGCATGTATGATGAACTCGAGGTATCACTCACCATGACCACACGGGAAATTTATACGCGAGGAAATCACCAGCGGCGACAAATTCCTCTGAGTGGTAGATTAGTCTACAACGAGCTCAGTCTGCACACTGCACACACCTGGGGTTATACGACCGTGTTCCTTGAATTTGCTCTCCTTCAACACCTACAAGCTCATAGATAAACGAGCGTCCACGGCAATGAAATTGGAGAGCGTACTGGGCTAAGGTAGTCTCGCACCGCCCAATATTGTTGCTAAAGCGAGTAGTGTATCAGATACGACCGGTGGATACATGGATTTGGCACTGACCTGTATCGCGTGCATGTTGGCAAAGAAGTGGTTCGCGGATTCCTGAATGTGAGGTGCAGAGCTGCCACAAACCGGACGCGAGGGTTGCGAACTTGTATTCAATCGATCAAGCACGTGTTGTCTGAAAAAGGCAACTACAGTGTAACACGAAGAGTGGGCGTTTCTGGCACTATAACCGGAGGTGCCACTGTCACCGCATCGAAGCCACCGGTGTTTGGTTAAGCGCAGCATCGGTACAGTACTTCCTGCAGGTTTACAACAGGACCCGTGATGTAGCAGTCGGCTCAAGTAGCAGGATAATCTATTCCGTTATCATACCTCATACATATTCTTACTAGTGCGTCCGGTACAGAGATTCAGGCCGGAGTAGCTTGCAGTCGGGCCCACCAAGATACATGTATTTCAGTCGGTGGGATATATCCTTTCAACATTTACGTTGTCTACATTCATCAGCTTTTGGCCTTAATGGAACCGTAAAATGTGTCCGGGTGTCCCAGCAATGCCATTAATGCTGTGTATTAGGTGCTCTCAAAAGGCGCACTTTTAGAGGCAACTGGGGTTGTGTATCCTCCGGGCTGGCGGTAGGATAATAGACGGTCGCCACGTTCCAAGTTATCGGCTTATCGGTTAACTCGAAGGTGAAGGTAGGGAGTAACATGGACAAAATAACCTCTGTAAGGAAACAAATTGAATAGTCCGGCTTAGGGGTATTGATGGTCTTCCTTACTTATTTCCAGCTCCGCGAACTTGAATCCGCTGATAAAGTGGGAATTGAGTATTTGAAAACCAGGGAAAGTGAACGTGACGAACATGCAAGACCTCTTGCCACTCAAAAATGTCATCCTAGAAGGCACCGGATGAACGCTCGTAATTAGCCCGAAAATATCTAATTTTTGACTCACAGCTTAGAGTATACGCCCGGTATGGGGGATTTTATAACGGTATTTGGCAGGGGAGATAGCCAGCGCTCTGGCTTCCACTCTAGAGCATCCTCACCCCAGATTGTCTTGCACGTGTTAGACCCTAAGACACCAACAAATAGTTCGGTACCCTTGCATATCGGAACCTCGTGGATCAATTGGCCGTCAACACCGAGAATTGGTTCAGAGAGAGGAAGGACAGTGTCCTCCGTTGCCCTGAGGCAAAAAGGAGGGAAGGTCATCGAAAGCGGTGGCAGTGTTGATAGGATTATGCACTTACTCGCGAGACAGCAATGTAGCAGGGGGGTAACTGTGTCGAGGTTTTAGATGGACATGGTTCGGCCAAGTCGGAAGCGATGACTTACAGCCGCAAAGTTTCGCGCAAAACAGCATCCAGATACGGGAGACGGTTCAATTGGTCGTACGAAAGCTCGTCGCCATCGCATGCGTCCACGATCTCCCTGCGAAGCATTTCTTGAACCTGAGGGTGTTCTGCTAGCAAGTGCAATACCCTCGATGATGCGTTCGACGTGGTATCAGTTGCTGCTAGAGTCATGGTTCTGAGCCAAAATGAGACACTCTGGTGTTGCAAAAAAAAGGGAGAAACCCTACGATACTTGTGCATGTACTTCGTCATCGGATAACCTATCTTCATCATCAGCGACCATGTTCATTTTCACTTCGCTGGAGCTCAGTTTCGAGTAGACAAGTCGTATTCTCAGCAGAAAGCTCACTTAAAATAGTCATAATATCCGTCGCTTCTCCACTCTGCGTTGAGGTCCCTCCATCTCCATCACGCAGTGCCGCTCTCTTTTCTTGATATATCTTTGTCGAGCGATCTGCCATCTTGTCCACAAGTGATTTCAATTTCCGTACTGGCTGGTATGGGATGATTTCGACCATGCGTCTTCTGAACCATGCGGGGCCAAGTCGGGATACATATGGGAGGAGAGGTCGGAGGATAAAGACGTCCTGAAGCGCCGCGCTGATAGCAGTTCAATAAATAGACACAATCAAGGGCAGTTATAGGGACAATGTCCCGAGACTTACAACGTTGACTTCATGACTTCGCCGTAGTCGCTCTTGGTACCCACGATTAGGGAATCGAATGATGTACCAAGCCCACCTCGCCCTATGAGCTCAAGAGACATCCGTCCCATCCAGTCCAGGATGTCCATTTCCCCGTCCCCCGTTGCAGCTTCCGACATCATCGCTATGCGAAGCTGCGATATAGGCTGTGAACACCGGGAGAAACATTCTTGGCAATGCTATGAAAGACTGACTTGATGAACGGTCTCGTAGAATATGGGCAATAGACGACGCATGTGATTGATACTGAACACGGGATTAAGCATCTTCTTCTGTCTACGATGTTGCTCGCCTGTGGGGTAGAACAGTAAATGCACATTCACGTCTAAAAGGAGCTCTCCCACCAAGCGTAGACAGGAGACCTGGTCCAAATACCAGTAGGTTTGCACTGCTCCGCCAGGTGAATATTGATGCATGTGAATAAGAGACAGAAATATCGCACTTGATGAAATCAGACCCTTCCTCAAATGTAGCTTGATCCTTGACAGTCATGGTGTGAAGCGCTTTCGGATCAAAGACGTACAGTAATCGCCGCTGTCGAGCATACTGTCAGTATGCACATAAGTTAGACGGCAAGACATACTAACCCCAAATGATCCGTGTATCTTGACTACAGAACCGTAGTTCTGCGCCAGTTCCTCATGGAAGCCATAGCCATGTCTACCAAAAAATTGTTGAAGATTGCCTAGAACGATTATTGCTTCAGCCAGCGGTAAATATAGCTTCAAAGAATGTAAACGGCGTACCAGTCCAGAACGAACTCGATGGCGGTCCTGGGATATTATCTAATATGGAATTGAAGAAACGCTGCTTCATATAGTACCTTAAAAACCACATGATGATTAAAAGTAGTGCCCCCCAAAGTGCAGTGATGATGTCAATCATCGTGTCTTGCCAACTATATGATGCGGTATTCGTTGAACGACGTAGCACAAGCAGGGGGTGCAATATTGTGATAAGTTGGCGGCGTACTCATGTCTTATATACTGAATTTATTGAGCCATCTGATGGGTGGCAAACGTGGTGTCATCGTCGGGCTGGAGCGAACGCACCCAAAAGAAGTCTTCCGGTGGCTCTTTGACCTAGATTCAGGGAGAGGATCGCGATCTCCAAGGGGGAACGTTTGTAAGCCTACACAAATCAAGTTATGAGCGCCTAGAATGATAGATTCAGGGAGAGAAAGGACATATGTAAGCCCACACGAAGCAAGGGCTGAGCGCCTGGAAGACCATAGCGGAGGAGAGCCGAAAACGAATGACACGTATGAGTTTACATCAAACTACGACATGGGGTGGCGCTAACTCACGTCGAGTCTTGTTTGGGAGGCGCCACGGAGGTCCCTGAAGCGCGTAAATATATGATCTTTCAACCATTTACAAGATATTGGAAAGACTGAGTGACGATCATGCGATGTAATATACTTTGTCCAGTGGTGCTGTACGAGTTTGGCGGACTCAACAAACATGATCACCGTCGCCACTGATCGGTACTGACCCGCAGTACTGGGTGCACATGCGGGACCAATAGATTGCGTATTTGACACTTGCCACCACGCTTTGTGAGCTTGCTTGACCGCGAGATGGCAGGGCCCGCCCATCCATACGGAATTTGTAAAAGTCAGGGTCATCAGTTCACGTTGAATTGAGCCTGTCAAATTGCACTTGAACCGCTGGCATTGCGGAACAGTTCTTCGTAGACAATAACCTAAGCGCAGAGGGCCAGATGCACGGAATATGTAGGATATCGGCTCAAAGTTGAACGCCTGACCGATCGGAATGAGCCTCTTGCGATGCATGGCTAAATTCAAGGCACCATATCCACACGCGCTGCGTATCGAGCTTATGGATATGCGAGCTCCGTAATTCTTCTCATGGGACGAAGGTACCTGTGAAAACTGAAAACGTGAATTGGGCCGCTTACCCAATGGCCTGATCTGCCACGCACGCGGATATAGTGCGTGTCCGCTGGGTCACGTCCATTCTTGTGTAGAAACTTAAAGCTGTAAATGAAAAACAAATTTATGTATGTCAGTCAGGTTGTCTCAGTTCAGATACAGACAACACAGGTGATCCAAGGACCACTCATCAACGAAGCGAACATTCGCACGTGGTGTCAGCTCTGTAGGGTCCATGTGAGAATTAGGGATAAAGACGGATTGCTGAGAGCAATATTTCACTGGTCTGTCTGCAATGAGTATTTTGTGCGACACTGTAAGTCTGTATTAAACCCGTTTTTGTGTTTGCACTACCGAATAGAAAGTGAACGCCCATGTACGACACAGGCCTATCTTTCCACAAACCTGATCGAAAGATGTTCACATATTGTACTCGCACTCGTCAGAGACTTCTTTACTCGATGAACAGTGCGATTGCCCCGGTACCATTGCGAAAAAACATATTCAAATGACTATATGTTAAGTTCATCATCAACATCTCTCATTGTAGAACTCACCTTGCGGAGTTGTAATACACGAAATGACGAACAGTATGAAAACAGTATCTGGAGCAGGATGAGCATCTTGAACTCTCGCGATCTGTGGATCCGATGCCGACTTACGGATCGAGGTCGATAGCCGACACGAATACGCATGATACGGGGATTGAATCCTTCGTTGACACGTACGTCACATTAATAAGTCTCTGATTATTTCTGTCAGCAAGAGACAGGGGTAAGTACGGAAGAACTAGTAGTTAAAGTAAGTGCAGGTGTTTTGTACCCAACGTAACTGGGTTAAGGTTGTGCAATTCGGAGGAACTGTGGTGAACGATGATCGATACTTGATATGCATCAGTATAACTACAGGCTAGCGGAAAGCCTTAGTCTAAGTGTTACCCTCATTACTAATCCCCGCGATATCGTGCATGGCTTTCTGTACCTCGAGCTTCTCCATGACAGCTCTGTGAAGACTAGACTTAGGCGTGCGGCCCGATTTACCCTTCCCTTTCCCAGTAGCTTCCACAGTGGAACTAGCCGCGAACGACACATGGGACCCTGGTAGCGGTGGAGCATCTGCAGGAGGTAGGTCGTCTGCAGTACTTGATGTAAGATGAGAAGGAACGATGAGTGGGGTGGCTCGAGGAGGCGGGGGCCACTACAAGATCTTTAGAACTTGGAACATATACGAAAAACTGTCGGGAAACGTACGCCCCGTTTCGGTTGATTGAAATGAAGGGCGGCCCACGGTGGATACTCTTTTTCTAATCGTACGATATGATCCTCGAGGAACCTTAGACGATCGAGCAATGATTTCGGCGGAGACGGAACTGTATATAATAAGAACAAGGACCACGCATGCTCGTGAGCTCACATACCGTAGCGTATTGCGGCATGAGACTCAATATTCCGGATTCTCTCATCTAATGCGGGATATTGCTCGACATCGATACACCCTCCAGATCCGTGCTCCTGTCGGTGGGCTTCGTTTACATCTTTCGGAAATTCACTTTTCATCGTTCTACGAAGTGGGCCATCTTCATTCTTCGCTATATCATACTTCATCTGAATGTCTCTATTTTGTGTTTTTGCATCTGTACGAGCGCAGGAGGCGATCTCTGGCTGTAGGTTGGAGTCATTGCTTGTGTCCAGTCGGCGCTTTTTCTCAGCGAGAGACTGCAAGAACTCGACACGATTAGACGCATCGTTCCGAGCACGATTACGCGCGAGAAACTCAGAGACGGATTTGATGACCTGCTCGGAATGAGAGCTCAAAACAGACACGTAGAGCATAATGACTTACTGAAGTCTGCGAGCGAGGTTCCACGCCATCCGCGAAATGCGCATACTCGAGTTTACGCTCTTCTAACGATCGTTCCACAGGATGGTTGTTATCAGTACCACTGTTTGTTTGCTTCACGTCATTCTCAGTCAGCCGCTGACATCAGTAGCACCAAAATGTCAAATTAGCTTGGTCAGGGAAGCCCATGTTAAAAGAACATACATGAAGTTCTTTCATTAGCTCGCCTAAAGCTACCGGAATTCTTTTCTGCTCCCACTCTGAGTTCATCACCACCATATCAGCATCAAATCCACGAGCAGACTGTGTGAGTCCAGCAGAAGATAGGAAATTCCTGATTACAGCATCCCATTGTTTATGGAATGGAGGTGGAGGTGGGGAGGGCTGTGACCGTTGAACATTTTGAAGGGTCTGGGGTATTTGTGCTCGGTACGCTCCCGGAGCACTATGCGACACGCCTTGTGTATACTGGTATGTTCCCGGTGACACTACAGGCAAACCGTCGCCCCACCCATTTGAAGTATGGTTGAAAGGCACATAGTGAGAATAGTCGAACATTCCCGATGCTGATGGGGTTGGATGATAAGAGCTTGGGGCTGGCTCAACGTTCACATTTGATGAGCTTTGCGCGGATTGCACGGAAGAGGCATGGTGACCGCGCGACTGAAAAGGTATTGGAGAAGGGTTTGGTAAAGGTTCATATTGGAATACACCAAAAGTAGAGGCAGCTGGTACTTCTTGCGTCGGTGTCAAATTCTGAGAAGAATTAGACTCGCACTGTCGAGAAGGCCCCGCAGCAGCTGAAGGAGGACCGAGCATGGTGGCACGCTTGAAGAAGGTCCCGCCTCTATTTGCTGCGAACAAATAGAGGCGCACTGGCTCAGAATGGAAATGCCGCTCATGCTGTCTGTAGTTGCTCATGAGCTGGACGGATACTTGGTATTGCAGAACTCCAAGAGCTATAGTATTCAGCTGCTTCTTCGTTTCTACGATTGCTTGACGTGGCTGAGGTGGCAGCTTCACATGATGACTCCCAACATGAACCATATTCCGTGGACACCCTTCCAATTGCGCGAAGAGCTTCCACCTGAACTTGTGCTCTCCATCGAGCGTATTCTGGAGATACGACCTGGATATATCCAAGACCCTCTGGATCGAATTTCACATGATTTCAATCCTGTCGGTGTCCTAAACGACTACTTCCCAGACGGTGAGTGTTACTTCGCCGGCTGTTGTCATCTCCAATGGCATGACTCGAACAATGCAGAGACGTCTTTGGATCGTTTCGATGCTATCCAAGGACGCCTTACTGAAAACGAGCGAGAGCTGCAGCTCGAAATTGAATCACTAAAGGAACAATTAAGGCGCGATCAGGATCCGAGCAGAATGCAGTTAATCCAAGAGATGATTTCAGTATGTCATTCTTCTTGCCCCCCAATCAAATACAATTGAATTGAAGTAAGATAATGTTGGGCTGCATGCTTGTAGGATCTTTTAGGACAAATGTCTCGAATTCGAGAGAAAGCGACTGAATCTGAAGCGGTGGTGCGAAACATCACGAAAGAGATTCAGGTACTTGACTTGGCAAAAAAAAATCTGATATTGAGCATGACGATACTGAAGCGTCTACAAATGCTGGGTATGTTTATGCAAAACCAAGGCCGTCAACCTCACTGACTCGAGATGTCTAGTTAATGCACTCAGTCAGTTGGAAGATCAAGTCAAAGAGAAGAGATACCACGAAATTATCCAAACACTAGCAGTAAGTATGTGTGCATGACTTTTGTGTGCTTCCGAGATTGAAATTGGAGCTATCACTTTGAGGCTGTGAAACAAATCGGTGTCTCCTTTAAACCATACACCTCAATTCAACGAATTTCCCAAATATGGCGTAGGATACAGGAGATTCAAGGGGAAATTCGCTTGAAGATTGACTCGGACTGGGAAAGGTTGTAAGTGCACTGTCTTTTGGCAGCCTCAACATATATGCATTTATCATTCTATAGCTATACGCAAGATCCTGCAAGACCCGTTAAACCATCTACGATCATAGATGCATGTTTAGTAATTGACGTGTTGGGCTCCGATATCCGCGCCCAGTTCATTGAGCGATACGTTGCATTGGAATTAAAGGAATACCGTCGAATCTTTCGGTCGACAGACGAAGCTGGGCAGCTTGACAACCTCTCCCGTCGTTTCGCATGGTTTCGACGCCTACTTCAGACACACGAGACGGAACAGGGTCGCTTGTTTCCTGCAGAATGGAAAGTCGGATGGTTCCTGACCGCAAAGTTTGTTGAAATCACGAGGTGGCTGTTGTTGTCATGTCCTCCGAGGGCCAGCCAACTGATGAACCATCAGAGACGATATGACTGTCCTGCTCTCCAAGGCTGGATCAAAATTGTCAGTGAAGCAGCTATTGGACACGTTGCAAGAAACGATGGACTTTGAGGCATCCATGTCCCGCAAGTACGCTACGCTAGTATGCTCTGCAAGCCTGCTTCACGTTCATATTGGACACTCATTTTCGCTGTTAGCTTCCAGAAATTCTCAAAGCCACCCAACCAACTGGGGCGTCTCGACTGTCAAAGACTATATCATCCGCTTTCGAGCCTCATATGGGGGTTTTCATCGACGCACAAGACAAGTATGTTGTCCAATACCGTCTTTCAACCTCATACAACTCATGTTACTTCAGAGCACTTTCAGATATGCTATCACAGTATAGAGGGTCGAAGTCGCGTTCTTCTCTGGAGGCGGCTCCTGCATCTTCTGCTGATGAGACTGCATCCCCTGTACTGGTCCTTCCTTCCTCCACGGAACTGTTCTACTTCTATGCGCAGACGTTGGAACAGTGCGAAAAGTTGTTCACTGGACAGCCTTTGTATGACTTGAGTGTTTTGCATAAGAAATGGCTTAAAATTTATGCTGGTGGGTGTTGATGTTCACAACAGATCAATAACATCAGCTGATCGACCATCATCCTCCGCTCTATTATAGAGGATGTTCTAATGTCTAGCATGAAGAAGTAAGTTGTGTGCTTGCCGTGTCTCAATAATTTTGAATTATATGTTTTAGGCCTACTTTCGTTACGCGGAGGTCCATCGAGAGTCGGTTTGACATGAACGAGCTCAAGAACGCGTGTACTCTTATCAACACCGCGGATTATTGCCAAACAACCGCTCTCGAGGTGATTCATACTGAATGAACCTGAGTCGGTGGCCCTCACCGTGAAATTTATATGCAGCTGGAGGAAAATATCCGAGAGAAGAGTGACGAGTTTTTTAAGAGCAAGATCTCTTTCCAGGATGAGCGTGATCTCTTCGTCAGGTGGGTTGCTCAGTTGGCCTGCGTAACATGTCTCATTCGTTGTCATAGCGCAATATCAACGGCTATACAGGTTCTTCTGAGAGAACTTGATGCGACGTGCGACTCAGCTTTCTCCAACATGTCACGTACTGCATGGACTGCTTTGAAATCTGTTAGCGGTCAGTCTGGGTATGTTGAAGATCTCGTGAATGCTATCGAACAGGTTGTGGACACGATCAAGCCTTTAGTAGAGCAAAAGAGATATGTTCGGAACTTCTTGGATAAGGCCTCTAGGTAGGTTTCAATGAATCCTATGACACATGGATATGACAATATTTCATATTAGCGCCGTTTTTGCGAAGTTCACCAATTCATTGGTGAAGAGTCGACCCCTAAAAGAAATTGGGGCTGAGCAATTGTTGATTGATCTGCAAGCCCTGAAAGTTGCATTACTTAAGATTCCGGGTGAAGCTCTAACAACCACAAAGTATGTGTTTAGTTGTTTCCGTTTAGTATAATTACCGGACTGGGTTGAAAGTTACACGCGGACCGTCGCCAAACATACCACGAGACTGGAGGCATTACTGAAAGTCATCGTCACCCCGGTCGTAAGTCATCGTCAGGACATTCGTGCCGTGATCCTTACTAGTGCAACTGCCAGGATCCCGCGGAAGGCTTTATTCTCAATTACACACTATTGATCGGAGACGCATCCTTTACTAACTTCCAGAAGGTCAGTCCGTCTCGCCATACATTGTGTCAATCATTGAGATATCACGATATATCAGATCCTGGATCTTAAGGGAACGACGAAAACTGAACAAAATGACCTGTTAGACGCCTTCCTCACCATAACCAGCACGAAGACGGATCTTGCTAGTACCTCCTTCCTATCGTCTCTTGACATGGATCCGGGCCACATTACAGGTCTTACGAGCCCTGCGGGTAGCCGGGTGTCTTTGATACCCGGAGGTCCTACTGGTGAAAGTATCCTTGCAACACTCGGATCACCGCCAGCGACGGGTCCCTTGGCAGGATCGGATACGCCACCCAGGGGAGATCAGACTGCTAAACGAGAAGTGTTTTCCGACTTCAAGCGATTTGTGAGCTTCGCTGTAAGACGTGAAACTCTACCACCTTCATAGACGACATATTACGAGATTCTACCTAATCTTACACGGACGGTTTGTTTGGAGTATATCTTGAGTATATTAGTTACATATTGCCTATTGCAAGGATCCAAACCTACATGGAACGCAGACGTACAGCTCCGGACACAACTAGTGCTGACATGATGGATTTAATGAGACGGGGCTCAAATGAACGATCACTCCTCCATAGCATCCGAGCCAGGCGAAGTTGGCGGCTCTTTCCAAATATCGCTCCACTTGGGAAACACACGTTTGTAGAGTGACATACATATAGTATCCATCTGGTTTATCGGACCATCAAAATACGCCTTGAAATAACCATGCGTGCCGAGGGAGTCGCGGATGTGGCCCGTTCGTCCATGTTTTGTATGCAGTTGAATGGGCTTGAAGTAGTTCACGTCATCTTTCCCCAAGCTGTCAGCCCGGGTAATAGAACATAAAATGGACTACAGACCTGCGTTGAAAAACATATATCGCACAGTGGCGGTCTTCTTGTGCACTTTGAAAGGATGACCTGTCAAAATGATGCGTTTCGCGATGATTCGCGTGGTATCGGGGTGTAAGAATGTGCCCATCGCGACAAGATGAGGTGCTGCAACGCTTTGAGTGTCTGAAAGTTGATACGACATAAATGCGATTTTACCTTGGGGGTCCTCCGATTCTCTGAGTAACATACAAGGTTGCGCCCCGAACACCACAGGCGCGTAGATGGTTGCCACGCTGGTTACACCGTGTCGCAAATAGCGTTCAAACTTATGGACATTGTTCGCCCCTTTACCACCTCCACGGGTATGTTGACTATATATTGGATTAATTTGCAATCGGCGAGGTCCGACGCATAAAATGAGGGGGTCCTATAAAGAAAAGTCTTATGAGAAGAACTCCTGATAATAGATGCTGCGCTTCATGCCTTAGATCTGACGGGGTCATCATACTCGGTATTTCGCTGAACTGTGAAATTCAAAACTGTCTTCTTGTGCTCATGTTGCAACAAGCTAAAAAGAACAAGAGGGGCACTGCCGTCGCGTTGGACGACTCCTTCGGGTACGTCCTTAAGATAAACAGTCACACGAGTCCCGGGCTGGAGAAGATCATGTCAATTCGTGCCACTGCAACCAACACACCAGACACACCTCAACCACAGCTAGGTCCTGCTCTCCGCGTTTCCTTACTGCCCGTTCTGTGCGCTTGTAATCCTCGAATTGGAATATACGGGCATAGTCTCTTGGCAAGTTCTCGTATGGATCCCAAGGACTAGTCCTGAAAGACCGCAGACCACGGTATCGTGCGAACCGCGTCCGTGCAGGAACATCAAGTGGCGTGTCAATCTCGTCCGGGAACGCCAGATCGTCCTCTTCCTCGCGTTTGCGGTCCCTCCAAGACTTGAGCCTGATGCCCGCTCAGGTTTGCGCTGAGGATGAAAGATATCGGAACACGCACTGTCTGCCCTCCTCCTCCTCCTCCAAGTCCTCGAACGCGACACTCTTCCTACTTTCTGACTCCATCTCATGATCCTCTTCAGCCACCTCCACCATCTCCGCATCTTCTGCGTTCTCCACCGCAGTCTCATCATTCTCTTTGTCGCTTTCCACATTTTCGCCTTCCTCATCGTCGCTCTCGTCGATGATCCACGCAGCCTGATACTCGCTTGTCCCCTTAGGAAGCTTCCGCACGCGCCTCGGCGTCGTCCCCTCTTTCGCGTCTGGACCAAGATCGGATGGGTTGGTATTAGCCGGCGCACTCCTTATCTCCTCTTCAGTTGGCCACGTCTGTTCATTCGCCATATCGTCCGGGTCATTGCTAGACACCAGAGAGTCTGCGGAAGATGAATCGGGTTCAGCGAGCACAGCGGGCTCTATCTCCATGCCCTCTGCATTACCAGCCCTCGACTGTCGGGGCAACGACGCAGTCATGATCTAGAAGATCGACATTAATGTGAATTCGTATTCACTAGTAGTAGCACAGCGGACGCGCACTTTGGAAATCTGGAAGTCACCATAATTTGGGACATGTATCAGACGATTGGCAGAGAGCGCAGTGCCTCGAACGACGCCCGTGATGCTGAACGTGCCGTCCTGCCAATGGGCCTCCTCCGTGAGAATGTACGACCGTCCGTCCCTCCACTTTACGTCTGCCGGTCTACCTTCACAGAGGGTCCTCGCAGCATTTAGTGCGTCAGCACTTGTGTGGATGTCGAAAACCCTCGAATGGCCTGGCACGAAGTACTGGATGAAGGACAGGAGCGACTTCAGGATCGCAGGCTTCTCCTTCGGTTCCATCGGTGCGTCGGAAGAGACGACAGTCACGGCCTGTGGGAGACCCTGCGCCTGCAGTGTGCGTAATAGCGTGTCCCCCCATACGTCCACTTCGACATTGGGAGACAAGACGAATACCACATAGTCCGCCGCTTTGCATGCATCGAGAGCCGCATATAGCCGCTTGTATGGAAGGGGTATGAATTGGAGAGAGGTTTTGAACCGCTCTGCCCTAGAAAGTCTGTGTTACGGCCATCCGGTAGCAGTGTAGCACAGCTTTCCTACCTGACTCTCCAAGTCCCTTCTTCGGACGAAATGTCCGCAGACGAGTCGAGGGCGCTAGTGAGCGCAGTGGCTACTTTTTTCGACGAGGCATCCTCTGTGAGGGGGACGATCGCCACTATCCGGGGCGTACCATCGACACCGCTGAATATCCGGGTCGCTGATACAAGAGCCTGGCGCTTTTTGATCTGTGCCTGCTTGGACGTATTGCGCCTGTTCAGGCGAGACTGGGCGGTAGTATTCGCGGTGGGTGCGGCTTTCGGAGACTGGCGTGTAACGCGACCTGGGGAATGGGGAGAGATTTGTGTATGAGAGGTATGGCGTGTTTGTAAATGCGAAACGCTCTGATATACCTTTTGAGGCCTCCTTCAAGGAGCTTTTTGTGGCGTGTCTGGACTTAAACGACTTGTTTTTCTGCGCGAACGATCAGAAATGGAGCCGTACAGGAGGATGGACTCCAGTACTTGTTTCAAAGACGATCTGTGATGGTGGACAACCTCTGTCATACTTACCGGTCCTTGCGTACAGAATGGCGAATCTAGGTCTGTTTACCGTACTTGAATGGATGAAGAAAACCAAGTCTGTAGTAGTAGGGGGGCATCGAGAAACCGATCGCCTGCAGGCGTTCAGTAAATTTACGGGGCTCGCTCCCTGATTGGCTGTCCGTCCCAGATAAGATACAAGATCGGCCAATCAGTAAATATGTAACATTATCTCCTGAGGTTCCTAGTCAGTACAGATAATAAATGAGTAAACGAGTCGTACAGCAGTGAATGGATAGAATGGGCTGATACGGATGTGGAAGGACGGTGTGCGAAATACTCTGAAGGCAACAACGAATAGAATACGGGTATAGTATGTGAACCAAGGTTGTGATAGTAGATTTGTGTATGAGATGCAGGAATCAATGATACACTAGCAGATGAATAACTATGATGTCTTCTCGTCTAGTTGACCAAGGAATGCGAGCCATGTCTTCTTATCAATAACACCCTCATCTAGCCAAGCCCCGTGGTCAGTACGACGGTCCCAAACATAAACGTCAATGATGCGCGTACAAAATCCGTCAGTATCGATGACGACAACATATCGCGCTCCGAGTTTGATGAAGAATTGGTGGACAAGCTCAAGCGGGGAATTCGACTGAACCGTGATCGGGGCCTGTGGTATCAAGCGCAGATCAGACAAGCTGAGCACCGAGAGATCTCAACCGACCTGGTCCATGTAAGGGCTAAAGTCGAACGAATCGAGTGCGCCTTGCATCGCACTCTCTGCTTCCGACGAGAAAGACGCCATCATGGGCCCGCCATGCTCATATGGCCCAACACTGTGGAACGATATTGCCCTATCCGCATCGTCCGCGACGATACCTGTTCGACGCTATCAGAACACAAGGCCAAGAGACATACAACAACAATTACTGAGTGCGTGTTCGAGCTCATTCGCGCCAATATAACCAACCATCCGCTGGCCCTCTCCATTCGCCCTGAGAATTGGGAATCCTCCATCCGAGTGGCCCGCAAGGATCAGCGCTTGCAGCTGGTCTCGAAGAGTTTTCACGGTATTCTCGAATTCGAGCCGGATCACGTCCACATTGCGATCGGTCTGAAATTAGACATTTAGGGATATATAGTGTTCACTAGGACGAACAACACATACCACATCGTCAATCTGCAAGTTGCCCCAAAGATGGGTGTGTTTGGCATCCAAGTAGGGCAGCTCCGACAAGCTGGATTTGCACTCAGCAAGTAGTGGGAGAGCACAGAGATGATAAGACAGACTCGATGACAAGATCATAAATGCCCTTGGGTTCCAGTGCGTCGGCCACAGTCTTTGCGACTAGCACCGATAGGATCACGGGAACGGTATATGTTAGCGTGTCTGTGAGCTCAAACATGATGACCGCAAGCGATACTGTCGTGCGCTATGGGAACAGAGTAAATGTTGATCGTTCCTCACACAGACACTGCATACTGCCTACCGTGACTCCAGACAAAGTGGCCGCGGCGCCAACCATAGCGTACAGCCCGGGGACGACACAATCAAGGTCGCCCTTACACGACGCAAAGATTGGGCTGTCCGGGTGCGAAAACTGCATCCACTGCACCAGAATGCCCAATATGCGTCCAGCGCACGCGCCGACTGCAGCAAGCTTCAGCGATCTTCCAGCCATTCAGGAATGAGCACTTGCCTCCGAGGGACGGGATGAAGATGCCCGCAGGCAGCTTGATGCCGAATGTGATGATTGTGAGCGCTCCCTTCACGATCAGTGCGACAAAAATAGCGCGGATCACGGGCATAGCCTGCTCTGGGGGGTTGAGTACGCAGAGCCCTTCATGTGAGTTTGCGCTGCCCGGCCGACACTCTGCAAAGAGGTTGTACACGAGCTCAGTCATTCCCATGCGCGTGTAGGGGTTGACGAAGCAGAGTATCGTGGTCAGCAGCGTCACCTAGGAAGATTGGTAAGTGGCAGGAATTGCGTATAGTATGTCAGGCAGCTCGTACAAGGAACACTTCGAAGACAGGGTGCGCCTTAAGCCATGTTCCATTGCGGACGTACCGCGTCCAACGGACGTTGAGCTTTGAGAAATATGCACCCCAAACACCCTGAAAAAATATCACTTGCTGGACTTTGAGTAATATCGGGTTGTTCGCCACATACCCCAAAGACGCCCAGGAGAAGGAAAAAGATAAGTTCGTATGCATGCCAGTCCTGCAAAGGGATGAGTATAGGCGCTGAGGTGCTAGTGCAATTTTGGGCCATGCAAGCGAACCTTGTCATAAGTAACCTGGAAGAGGACCAGTTTTCCGCTGCCGAAGGGATCGAGGAGCTTGAGCGTCATAGCGGCAACCATGGCACAGAAGAAGCTAGGAAGCAAGGTCAGCCAGAGGCCAAAAAAAACACGATCCCAGAACCTTCTCCACATCACCTTTGCCGGGAAGAAGTAGGATACTTCTTCCAAACTGAAGAGGACGCCGCCAATGGGTGCTCCAAATGCGACCGCGACGCCAGCAGCGCTTGCAGCACTCAATATTTCTCGCCGCTTAGCTATACAGCTGGGATCAGCCATAAGGCGACTCCACGAGAAATACGGCCTCTGTACCTTCATTGTTCTCGTACTTGCCGAAGAATCGGCTGACGATGTTGCCTATGCAGGAAGCAATGTGAACAAATGGCCCTTCTTTTCCTGTCGTACGTACGGGGATTTCAGCGGTCACTCGGCCGCTGTGGAAATGGCGACTCACCCAGAGACAGTCCTGACGCGACCGAAAGGGCCAGGCCGACGCTCTTTGTGAAGAGCGTCCTGCCGCCGAGATATCCATGGATCACAAAACCTGTTCATGTTAACACTTGCTCAAACCAGTGAATCAGTGAAAATGGCAAACCTGAGAGGATTGTTTTGATCTCCGGGATTCCACTGCCTGCTGCCTGTGAATTGAAGTCAGCAAGCGGGATGATAGCCGATTTGAATGACGCACGTAGTAGAGAACCTTGCGCCGTTGTTCGCTTCTGGCCGGCGCTGGGAGTGTCTTCACTCCCGCGTCTAGGTCTGCAAACTCGGGAGAGAGCACGCCCGAGTCTTTCCGGGTCACGAAGCTCGTTGAGGCAGTCAGATTGAGGGTGAGCAGCGACGACACAACGGCTAACGACAGCTATGCGACACCGGGTCAGGAGATAGCACACAACACCCCAGCAGAGGACACCAACCGCCACCAGTGCGTATGCAACATATTCGACCATCTCCGCCTCAAATCCCATTCGGTTACCCTCCTTTACCATCGGCCCAAACACATCGGCCCACGTCCGCCACGCCGGACAAGGGCTCTCGGGTAGAGACGACCGATAGGCCGAATCGTCTTTGACTGCACAACAGAACCGCCTCGCCATAAGCCACCCCTCGCGACAGTATCCTTCTTTGATGTCAAACAGCCATTGCTCACTGCGTACGATGAGAAAGGCAACGACCGCGGTGAGAAGGCCCACGATGGTGACAATGACCCAGCCGATGCTCCTGTCCAGCTCGCGGAGAAGGATACCGCGTGTGGACTTGTGTCTGCGAAGCCGAGAATGGCGCGCAGAGTCCTTGATCGTATCGTGGAGCCAGTCAATCGAGGTGAATGAAGAATACCAAACACGGATGCCATTAGTCTTCACGTCCATCTCCGCATTTTGATAGTCGACGCCGTCTCCGGACTGATCGTATGACGATATGGGGCGCCGGCTTGTTAAAATGGAATCCTTGAACGAGCGAGGAGAATGTGGTGACGTCGGGGCGGACGCAGAGTACTCGGGCATTGTCAGTCTTGACAGCGTACTCAGCCTGCCACGGCTGATAAATGCAGACTTGGATTTTGCCCTGTCAGTGCGAGTGAGGGCTCCATACGACGCGATACTAGCAGGTCCACCTGTGCGCAGGGAAGCTGTCTCGCTCATGGTGGTGGTGACTGTGTTGCTGCCAATTCGACGCAGACGCTGACGACGCCATGCTGGGTCTGACGGGCCGCTATGGGGATCAGGAACGATTCTGCTCGTATCCGAACTTGAGACAGAGATGGACTGTGTCCTGCTCAGCGAGGGCATTGTCCGCTGCGGTCCAAGGGCACCTACTTGGGCGAGTTGCACGGCCTGGGGAGCGATTAAAAAAGGTAACAACACCGAGAACAACAGCAGAAGGACGACTTACAGTCCTGTCTCGCGCTGTGGGCCCTGGATGGAAACGGAACGCGCCTTACTTTGCTCTGTTCTCTTTCACAAGCACGTCGCGTTTGTCGCTCATCCTCGGCGCGGAGTCCGTAGCAACCGCCACAGCAGCCACACTTCTATCTAATCTCCGAAGATCCGCTCCAGATCCAGTTCAAGCGGAGTTTCAAGCCCCGCTCTGGGTACGCGCCTGGTGAGCTTCCTGAACACGCCTTCCGCGCTCTGCACCCTCCTCTACCGCAAAAATGACCACTGCAGGCCTCGGAATCCCTGTAAAACTCCTCCACGAGTCGCTAGGACACATCATCACTGTCGAGCTCAAGACCGGCCAGCTCTACCGCGGAAAACTCGCAGAAGGTACGCACGCCTCCCATCCTCCTGCGATATACTGACGCGCATATATTTCTAACTCGTCTTTGTAGCCGAGGACAACTTGAACATCTCTCTCAAGGACATCACAGTCACAGGGCGGGATGGCCGTGTCTCGCAGCTCGACCAGGTTTACATCCGGGGAAGTATGATCCGTTTTTTCATCGTGCCCGACATGTTGCAGAACGCGCCGATGTGAGTTCGATGTAGGTGGCAGCACAGCGATTTTAACTGATGCACCGCTTGTTAAGGTTCAAACGCGTGGGTCCGAATGCCATGAGAGGAAGGGGTATTGGTACGGCGCGTGGACGCGCGACGATTATGCGAGGTGCGTTTTGTCTTTCTTCATATTGCACTGCCGCCCGCTTACACACTCTGCGAACAACCCAGCAAACGGTGAGCATAGATCACCCTTACTCCTGTCCACATATACTGATAATCCTGCTCTCCAGCCCGTCGTGGTCGTGGTGTGCCCGCCGCACGGGGTATCAGACGATGAGGATATGATCTTATTTTATCTCATCTCCCCGCAAAAATTTGTCTCATAGTTGTGTCAGTGTCCCTACCTTCGTGCCGTCGCCGAGGCTGACAATCCGATATTGTGGATCGCATAGATTGTATCTGTCGCATAGCCTGTTGTCTGTTCGCATATATTTGCTCTGCGTGTTGACGGGTTGCACGCCCCCAAGAAAGGAAACGTGTAATGACCCTAATCTGCCTAGTGCCAATGATATTTGTTTGGTGGTGAAAGTCATTTAGATTCTACTTGTTACCACTCTCGCTCTGCCGTGCATGAGTTTTGCAACCTGCAGCGCTAGGTGTGTGTCTCCTATCCTTCACCTCCCGTTTCGATAATGTTTTAGTGCGTCGACACAGTCTCCGTGATTCAATTGTTCACTTGACTGATGAGAACTCAGGCAAGATTATAGTCTAGCGTTTGCTGCACGTATATCTACACATAACTATCCTCGGTATCACGATTCTGGTTCACTATGGTATACAAGACATGTAATATTTGAGACGGCTTTAAGACCTTCAAGTCCTTGTTCCTTCCTGCTCATCCGTGTTCCTGGATCTTCCCAATTAACTGCAACTGACACAGGCTTTATGCCTTTATGCTCGTGATGCTGTGGATGAATGAATGCGCTCGCGCCAATATTGTTGAATATCCCGTGCGCGATCCAGCATCTCCTTCTCCTCCATCTTCCAGGTAGCATCAGTGTTTAATTTGCTATATATCCTGATGGTTTTACCCAGTTTGGATTTCTATATGAGAATCAGTGATTAAAACTTGTATTTCTCTACAGACAAAACTTACCTTAAGCATGACATCTGTTACCATAGCCTTGAACTCATTGATATATCCCATTGCCCATTTCAACTTTAGCCATATTTTTTCTTCATCATCTGGAAAAACCACAGAGTTTCCTTTCTTCATCTTGATGTATTCTGAGATTGCTTGTGTCCAAATTCCTACTGTGTGCAAATCAATGGGGATTTGACCATATTTTGACCTTGAACCACTAGCTGCAATGGTGGTGTTCTGATGCATTCTTCTTGCAGATGAATGATGAGGATGAGAAGATATATAATATCTGGGCTCTGATATGTCATGATGCATCTCTACAGTTAAACAAAATTAGCCACTATAGAAACGCAAAAGCAATTAAGATAATACTACCTTCATGGTTACTATTGTCATCACTATGCAGTTGCTGTTGCTCTGAGTAGACATGTTCATCTACACCTGAGCTAGTGTTGCTATCACTAGGTGCATCAACTGGCCAACCTGAGCCAGAATTCCTCTGAAATCCTGAAGATGAGGATTCAGCAGAATATATATTCTGTGCTGGGGATGCAGAGCAAGAGCATATATCCAATAATACAGGTGGTAATTCTTGTTGGAATGATAAAGTGTGGTTTTCTGGACTATACTGAACTGATGATGTATATTGATGGCGAAGTGAGAGTCTAAGAAGAGCTTCTTGCTGCAAGACAGTTAAAGATGATTGCTGATTTTCATTTAACTTTGCAGCCCAAGATAACTTGGGTACTGATGAAGATAACACAATATTAGAGATGCTATCTTGGCCTATATTGTAAAGTATAAGTTAGTATTATGTAAAGTGTTACAATATAAAAGTACACACTACAATAGTCTCCTTGCTGAGGATCCTTGAGCTTCAAGTCAGGTAAATTAAACATCGGCATGTTATTTGCTAATAACAAACATAAGGATAGAAGCAGTCTTGTAGGAGATAATAATGTTAAAATATAATTATGGCAATAAACCTTACCTGTGTTGACTAGACAACAGGCAAGTAAGAAGGCTTTAGAGTTGTCTTAGATATCTGTGAAGATACTAAGATGAGGATGGGAGAGAGAGTTAAAGCACTGAGCATTAAGTGTTCTACCTAGGGATTTATATATACAGGGAGGATGCTACATATACAAACAATTAGATAATAATCTAAAGTGGTGCCATACACTTAATATTAGTCAGCTGCCTAATGGGGTAGTAATCTCCAGGAAGCTGACAACAGACATCAAAGGAATGTGTCATATCTGCTGACATTGTAGAACAATAGACACAGCTAGGTCTAGCTAGATGCTTCTAGACTCTGTCTGGAATCTACTAGACTCAGTCTAGACTTGTAACTATATCTGGTACATCAGATGCATCAGATAATGATCATATGTCTAGATCTATGCTAGATAAGATTAGATCCACTAATCTACAGTGTCCATGAACTGATTGTAGCAGTTCTGTACATAGACCTTTATTGTTACAGTATTGAGGGGGGTTTTCTTTTCTTTCTCACTATTCATCATTGACCCTGTACTATTACAACTGATCCCATCACTTGGGGGGTTCCACCTGCATCATTGTTTCATATATATTGTGTTTCACCTTTATCATGTTTCATCTACATCACATTTCACTTACATTGTGTTTTACCTATATCATGTTTCACTTACATCGCATTTCATCTATATCACATTTCACTTATATCCTGTTTCATCCTCATCACTGATACAACCCAGTGAAACCATTTCATACATATCACTGATTCAACTCAGTGTTTCATACTTATTAAACTCTATTTGTCTTACTCTATTTAAGGAGCACTACTTGC